CGCTGTCGCGCTTTGTGGCCCCATATACGAATGCCCTTCGTGGCCCCCGCTCGTTCGCGCCCGTCGTGGCCCCATATGCATGCCCTTCGTGGCCCCGCTGTCGCCCTTCGTGGCCCCCTCTCTGCCCTTCGTGGCCCCGTTTATGCCCTCAGCGGTCCCGTCGCTGCTCCCTTCCTCCTTCTCCTTCTGTCTCCCTTTCCTCCTTACCTTCCTCCCTCCTTCCCTCCTTCCCTCCTTCCCTCCTTCCCTCCTTCCCTCCTTCCCTCCTTCCCTCCTTCCCTCCTTCCCTCCTTCCCTCCCTTCCTCCTCTCCCTCCTCCTCCTCCTCCTCCTCCTCCTCCTCCTCCTCCTCCTCCTCCTCCTCCTCCTCCTCCTCCTCCTCCTCCCCCATCCTCTTCCTCCTCCCTCCTCTCGTCGCGGTCGTCGTCGTCGTCGTCGTGGTGAGCCCGCTGTCTGTCCATCTTGGGGTCGGGTTGCCGCGGGTCGGCGTGTGCATCGCCAGCGCTGCCACTGGCCAGGCCGACGGCCCTCCGCTTGCCCGGGCCCGGTTTGCCGGCTTTTGAGACGCGCGTGTTCCACTGGCCCAGGTTCTTTTGCAGGCTTCGAATGAAGGCCTCCCTCGACGAGGCCCCCGGGGCGTCCCCATAGGCTTTCGGAGCCTCTGGAACTGCTCGGTGGTCATCGGGGCCATTCCGAGGCCCCCCAAAGGTCATAGGAGGCTGTCGGGTGACTTCCAGTCCCCCCGCGCCTTGTTTCCGCACCAGTCACCGCTCGTATCCACCTGTCCCCATTTTCCAAAGTTCTTTCCCAGTCTTCTCGGCTCTTTCCCTTTATCTTCATTTTCGTGTCGTTCGTATTCCATCGTGCTATCCATTGTCTCTTCGCATTCCGCCCACTCCTCCCCGAACCACCCCACCCTACCCCATCAATCTCCACCTTTTCCCGCTTGCATTCCGCATTTCTCCCAAATTATTCCCAGTCCCTCCTCCAGATTCCTCCGTGCGCCCCCCGCTCGTCCGCACTCCTCCCGGTTCCCCTTCTCAGCTCCTTGCCGCTCGTCTTCCTGAGGCCCTATTCTTGTCCGTTCCATCCCAATCCGCTCCCCGTTCCCGCGCTCCGTTCGACGCGGTTGCAGTTCTCGCCATCCTGCCGCCCCGCCCCCGGCATCCCGCTTCTTCTAAGGGTTCCATATTTTTTTGTTTGACGCCAGTTCGCAGCCGTGCGTCCCCCTGTGGGGGTATCCACGATTTGTCCGTTCGAGTTTTTTTTTTTTTTTTTTTTTTTTTTTTTTTTTTTTTTTTTTTTTTTTTTTTTTTTTTTTTTTTTTTTTTTTTTTTTTTTTTTTTTAAAAAAAAAAAAAAAAAAAAAAAAAAAAAAAAAAAAAAAAAAAAAAAAAAAAAAAGGCGCGACCCATGGCGAAACTTACTGTTAACCTGTGTTGGCATGGCTGGCGCCGGCCATTGCCCTCCTTCTTGCCTTTCCCCATCCTTTCCTCCGGTCTCTTCGCCCTCGTTCCCCCCTGTTGTTTGTTGTCCCTCGGTTTCAAGGGCTCCACCAGCCACGCGTGGCAGGGAATGAATATGCTTCCCGAGAGGGGGTGCGATCGAAGACGAAGAGGGCGTTTGTCCAGGGTTTGCGGCGTGCGTATTGAATGACGCACGAGCAGCTAAGAACGAACGCTCTTGAAATGATTGTTGTTGTTGTTGTTGGTGGTGGTGGTGGTGGTGTCGTTGTTGCTGTTGTTGTTGTTGTGGCGATTGAGCGTGACCTTAATTTGGAAGGGATATGCAGCCGGCGCCCAGGCGAGAACGCGAAAACGCATCCAGGGTGTCCAACAATAATAGTTGTTTCATTATTAGGGTTCAATCAACAGCGACAACAATCACCCGCGCCGCGGAAGCGCTGTTCAGCCAAGCGCCTATGGACAACGGGTGGCCGCTCGGCCCCCATACTCGGATATGAACTCTACCGGTTTTTCGAGGCAGGTTCAGCGACGCGGAGCGAGTCGGGCGGGCGGGGCGGCACAGTGTGACCTTTCCTGCGTGTGGATATGCGGCACAAATCTAATGGGCGACGCGGGTCGTGCGGGCGCGACGTTGAACAGTTTCGTCGGGTGTCTGTTGGTTGCGGTTGGGCGACTAACGGCGAGCCAAGCATTGTGAATCGGGCAAACGGGGCACAGACGTGCAATGTTCTTTGAAAGGAGGGCCAAGGGGGGCAGGACGGACTGGGCGGGCGGGACATTCAAATGTAGGACTCTCTCGAGTGTTGCCGGGTGGAGCGGGGCCAACGGATCAGAGCGGGTCGGGCGGACGAGACGCTCATGTGCGTGTCGGGCGGGCCGGAACAATGGGGTGTCGGGGATTCTCAAAGCGAGTGGCCGAGCGAAACGGGGCCAATTGATGAGAGCGGGCCGGGCGCGCGGGGTTTTAAAGTGCGAAGTTTTCTATCGCGCGTGGTCGGGCAATGGGGAAGAAAACAAGGAGAACGGAAAACGGGGTCTGGGGCGCCAGGAGGAACAACAGTTAAACCTAGCGGGAAACCCAGGCTCGTCCAAACCATGGGGGGGACCACGTTGGTGAGCGCCATCCCGAGCCTCGTTAGTGACAGTTCTCGGGCGAGACACGTGGGTCAAAACCGTGGGCAGAACCACATTGGCCAATATCATCGGCGGAAGAACGTTGGCCAAAACCATCGGGAGAACCACTTTGGTCAAAACCATTGGGATGACCACTGAGGTCACCAGCATCCGGAGGACTACGATGGTCAAGACGATCGGGAGGATCACGTTTGTCAAATCCCTTATTGAGCACCCCGTTGGTCAAATCCCCCAGGGGGAGTTATACGACGCTTCGAAGATATTCGGAGGATCTGGTCAACGCCATCGGGAAAACCACGTTTTTCAAACCCTCGGGATCACCTTGTTGGTCAAAGCCATCGGGCGAAACTTGTTGGTCAAAACCTTCGGGAAAAACACGTTGGTCAAAACTATTGGGAGAAACTCGTTGGTGAACATTACTGGGAAAACAACGCTAGCCAGAGCCATCCGGAGAACCACGTTGATCAAACCGCACGGGAAACACATGTGGCTCAGGAGAACCACGTCGTTCAAACCTTTCGGAGGAAACACGTTGGCCGAAACCTTCGGGATAATCACGTTCGTCAGTGTCCTCGGGAAACCTACGCTGCTCGAAGCACCATCGGGAGATCACGTTGGTCAAACCCGTCGGGAAAACACTGTTAGTCAAAACCATCGGGGGAACCACGTTGGTAAAATCCATCGGGAGAACCACGTTGGTCAAGCTCCTCGGGAGAACCGCGTAGGTCAAATCCCTCGGGAGAACCGCATTGGGCGAAACCATCGGGAGAACCACTGTGGTCCTCACCATCGAGGGAACAACTTTGGGCAACAGCATCTGGAGAAACACGTCTGTCAACACCTTGCGTGCAAGAAACGCGGTGGGCTTCCCTCCTCCTTCATTTCGCCTTTTTCCTGCCTCCTCCGTCGCCCTCCCCCCCCCCTCCCGACCCACACTGCCCCGCCTCTCCTTCCCTCGTGTCCGAGCGGGGCGCAGGCCCAAGCCACCGTGCAGAACGTCTTCGGTCTCGGCCCGCACGACGCTGCGCCCGCGTCCCAGCGATCGTCCTTCTGCCTCTCCTCGTTCTCCGCCTCGTGGTCTGAGCTCCGAAGTGCAGTCTAGCAGAGCCCAGATTGATGGAACTGCGTTGAATCATAGAACACACCATAGGTTCTTCCAACATTCCAACCCAGCGAAACGTTGAGAATCTGAGCTGTGGGAGAATTTACACCCCCTCAAGGTATGTCCAATATTTCAATCTGGTGGGGGGCGTGATTGAGAATCGACATATGGAAAAATAGTGAAACCCTGAGGTTTTCTAATTTTCCAACCTGTGAGTCTGGGATTGAAATTTTGATGTTTTTTGTCAAACTAGGAAGTCCAGGAGACTTCAATTATTGAATTTGGTTAGTGTTTCAATAATTGAGCTTTGAGGAGCCCCTATGGAGCTCACGTGGGACGTCTGGGAGCTGTCTTGGGCTCCTCTGGGGCAGGTTGAAGGTCTCCTTGGGGCCCTCTTGGACTGCCCTTCGGCCTCTCTTCGGCCTTCCTTGGGCCTCTCTGAAGCGGTCTCGAGGCCATCTTGGCCGTCTGGGGTCCAGGGGGTCTCGCAGCCGTCGTGGTGCCGTGTTGGGCCGTCGTGGGTCCCCCCGAAGGCCCTCTTGGGCCAGCTCAGGGCTCTCTCAGGGCCGTCCTGGGCCGTCTAGGGGCCTTGCTAGGCTGTCTTGAGGCCGTCTTGGAGGGGTATTGGATCATTTTCGGCCGTCTTTGGGGTCCTCCAGGGCAGTCCTGGTCGTCGTCGTTCCTTTCCTACTCCCCCGTCGTCTGCGTCGTTGCCGTCTTCCTCCCCCTCGTCATCCTCCCGTCTGCGCCCCCTGACCGCAGAAAACAACAACACCCTTTTCCTCTCGCCCCTGGCGTGCTCGTTGTCGTGCTCGTCGTCGTCGTCGTCGTCGTCGTCGTCGTCGTCGTCGTCGTCTCTTTCTCCTCCTCTTGCTCTTTTTTTCCCTCTGCCGCGTCCTTCCCCCCTCTTCCCCCGCTTCCTTCCTCCTCTTCTATCGGGCTCTCATGGGCCCCTTTCATTTCTGGCCGTCTTTGGAATTTCCCGCGTCCCACTTGGCCCATCCTGAGGTCTTTTCGGCTCTCTTGTGCTGTCTTGTGTTTCTCTTGGGTTTCTTCTGGCCTCTCTTCAGGAGTCGTTGGCCTCTCTCCGGCCCATCCTGGAGCCCTCTTAGACTCTGTGGGGTCCGGCTTGGGCGGTCTCGGGTCCCCCCAGGAGCGCCTGCGGTGGTCTGAGCAGTTGACATCCTCGGGATCCGCTGCATTCCCATTTGTGTTTCTCGTCGCCAGCATCACCCGTGCGGTGGCAACGGCTGCAGGCCGCGGTCGCCCTGGGGAGCCACGCGGAGCGCGCGCCCCTCAGGTGTCTGGAACGCCCGCACCGGTGAGTCCCGCTTCGCCTTCACCCTCAAGCAGCAGACGAGCATGAACTGGCCGCCCCTGAAGTGGACGAGCCTGGAGACCCACTGCTGCCGCATGGTCCAGGCGGGCGGGGCCCGGGCGCTGCCGCGGGCACACCTCCCCCCCTCGCTCGCCCCGTGTGCTCGTGGATTCCCCGCTCGCGAGGAACGTTGGGCTTCCGTGTTTTTTTTGTTGATAGTAGTCCAACCGAAAACCAGGCCCGGGTCACCGCTTTGTAAAATCCACCGGGGAGTACATGTTTTTGGCCTCTGGAGGTGCTCGTGGGGGCCCCCTTGGAGCCCTCTGCGGCCGTCTGGGGGGCCTCTTGGGCCCTCCTGGTGCCATCTTGGGCCGTCTTGGGGCCGTCTTGGGCCGTCTGGAGGCCCTGCTGAGCCGTCCGCAGGACGCTGTGGACCCCCCAAAGGCCCTGGAGGCCGAGATCAGATCGTTTTCGCATGTTTCGGTGCTGTTTTGGGCCCCCTATCAAGGGGGGCGCGCGCGCGTGGCGCGATTCCCTTGCGGGCGGGGTAGGGGCGGATACACGATAGCGAAAAATGAGCTCTAAGAGGCACATCGGAAACGTTGCATGTTGGCCTCGGCTGAAAGCGCTGCCGCTCAGCACGTGACCTCCGGACGTGGCTTCCACATGCTTACCTTTTGGGCTCCAGGAGGAGGCCGGGGAGGGGCGGACCCCCCTGATGAGTTCGCCCGGGGGCCATGTCGGGCCAGAGCCCCGCCGTCAAACTTGCAGTTTGGGGTCCTTGGGCGGAGATTAGTTACGGGGCGGGACCTTCTCACACGCCTGGAGATCCACGAGGGTTCGGCACATTCTTGCAATTCCGGGCCCCCAGACGTCCCAAATCTTTCCCCATGACCAGCTTTTCAACACGAGTCGCTTTTTGACGGTCCCGTGGCCTGGCGAGGGACCCCATCGGCCGAAAACGATGCAAAACCTGCAGATTGAATTTTGAACACCTGAGGTCTGGGTTCGCACGGGGCTAGGACGAGGATCAAATCCGTTCCAGAGCGTTCCGGAACGCTCCGAGAAAGTTGCGGCGCCCGAGACATTTTGCAGAGCTGCGGGATCTCAGAGATTCTCGATTCATCCACCCCCGAGTTTATCCTCGCCCTGGCTTCGTCGTCTGGGTGGGGTCGTGGGCAGCCGCCGCTGTCGCAGGCCTGGAGGTTGACACCAACACCAGTATCGGCGGTGTGCCTCCACCGAGGGACGAACATTCCGATCTCGGTGATGGTGGTAATATCCTGGCTTCCAAGGTGGCCGAAACATTACCACCAGCACCGAGATCTAGAGGATCCTCTTCCCCCTGTGGAGGCGACCCCCCTGTGCTGGTGTTGGTGCCGGTCTCCAGGCCTCCAACGCTGGGGTCCTCGGGGGGGTTGGGATGGCCTGCCGCTCTTCACAGGGGCTGCTCCAGGCGTTCGGGGTGCCCGTGCGCGGACTCCCGGCTCCAGCCTGCTGGGGTCGGCGTCGCCCCAACATACTCATACTATAGGTGCGTCGCCCCCCCCCAGGGGCGACGCTCGCACCGAGAACTCTCACAGTATGTGCGTCGTGGTGGGCGCTTTCTGGCCACACCGCTCGGGAAACGATATGCTACAAGGTGGGTATACTATCTGTTCGGGTCGGACGCGAGCCTCCAAGGAGGAGATATAGTACTAGTATGTTCTTACGGGACGTGAAAACGACCACAGCCACTTCTGTTCTTTTGTTGCCGCCTTCCAGCCAGCAGAAACAAAACAGTGGTTGTGGTCATTTTCGTTGAGCTTGGCACCAGGAAAATGACCACAACCACTGCTTCTTGCTCGGCCGGCTGGAAGGCGGCGCAAGCAAGAAGCAGTGGCTATGGTCATTTTTCCGTCCCGCATTTCTTGTGCCTCCCATGGGAGGTTCCCCGGAGCCGGTGCGAGAGAGCCCAGAAGGCAGGGTCGCCTACAGTTAAAGTCGGGCCTGTCCCTCTACTCGGTATCGTTTAACCAATCCCCATCCCCATCCCCTTCGAGACCCTCACCAAATTACCACCCAAGTTGGGGGTACACCCCTCGAAACCCGAAGGGAACGACCTGTATCCCCATCTAGGGGGTAAATCGGCCAGTGGGGCCCAGGCCACGCCGCTGGGGATGGGGATCGGTTAAACGATGCTCATTTACAGGATGAATATGATGAATGTTCAAAATAGCGGAAAATAGGCTGGGAACTATTTTTGGAGCATTTGTTTTTGCTATTTTTCTATATTTTTTGTTTAGTTTTGATTTTTCGTCCAAAATCCCCCTGTAGGAGGACATGCCCGACCTAAGCCTACAGTTCGGGTGTTGCTAGAAGTGCCCCTGGGCCAAGGTTCCCTCAGGATTCTCGGGGTAGCCCAGACGGCTTCCAGGGCACCCCTCAGGAGACCCAGAGGGCCCCAGGGGCTCCAAGAGGGGGCGGAAAGCTGGGGACACCCTGGGCCAGGGGCAAGTCTGGCAACACCCGAACAGTGGAGAAGCGCTTGGACGGCACATCGGCACAGCAACGTGCACATGTCTGGGAGCGGCTACGTAAAGCGTGACGTTCCCACACCAAACACCAATGGACGTTTTTGTGTCTCAGGTCTCAGGTTTGGGTTTCTTGTGAAAGGTTTCTTGTGGTCGATGCGCCTCGATCCGCTGGCGGGGGCCGCGACTCCGATTCGTTTCGATTCGATTCCATTTGCCAGCATCGGCCGATCTGGCTGGGGACGATTCGCTGGCGATCTGATTCGTTTTCGTCCGATCCGATTTCGCGATTCGATTCAGCTCAGGCCCGGAAGGTCGAAGGTCAAGCCGATCTGAAAGAACAGCGCGACACCACCCACGGTACCCGTACAGTGTTTTCCAAAAAGGATCTAGCTCTCACATTTGGCATTTTTTCCTCGGCGGAAGGTCGGCGGACGCCAGCGGAAGGCAGAATATCGGCGGAAGCCGGCGGAAGTAAAAGATGTGCCACCAAGAGATGATAACATGTTTGAGTTCAGGGTTTCCGGAATCGGCCGTATGTCAGAGGAAGAAATGGTACCGATACCTTTTTTTTGCTGCATTTCCGCCCTCGGAGGCCCTCGTCGCCACCGCTGGATTCGCCTCGAGATTCGTGTCAGAGCACACCCTGGAAGATGTCCAGGGAGTAGCGGTATTGGAAAGAGCGTGTTCTGCCGCTGCTGGCAGAAAACCAGGGGGGGGGGTTATTCTGGGTTTCGAGCCCGTCATCCCCCCCTCCAAAACCTGGGGGGTCACTGGGGGTTCCAAATCCCCTCTCCCCCGTCGATCATGAAAAGGGGGAGGGGGTCACTACCGGTTCGAACCCCTCCCCCCTCCTCGCCGCCGGCAAACGACTCCCGTTCCTCCCCCACTCCAGATGGGGGATTGGTGAGGACAGTGGTTGGGACGGTGGTGGGGATAGTGGTGGGGCGTGGGGACGGTGGGATAGTGGTGGGGACAGTGTGGACAGTGGGTCGAGTGGGACTGGAGGGGACAGTGGTGGCGACAGTGGGGACAGTGCGACAGTGGTGGGGGCACTGGTGGGGACAGTGGGGACAGTGGTGGGAACAGTGGGGACAGTGGGACAGTGGTGTGGTGGGGGCGGTGGTGAGGGCAGCGGTGTAGTGGGGACGGTGGTGGTGGGGACAGTGGTGAGGGCGGTGAGGATTGTGGTGGGACAATTGGACAGTGGTATAGTGGGGATACTGGTGGGAACAGTGGGGACAGTGGGACAGTGGTGGGGACAGTGAGACAGTGGGACAGCACAGTGGGACAGCGGTGGGGACAGTGGGGACAGTGGGACAGTGGTGGGGACACTGTGGACAGCGGGACAGTGGTGGGGACAGAGGGGAGAGTGGGGCCGTGGTGGGGACAGTGGTGGTGGTGGTGGGGACAGTTGGGACAGTGCGACAGTGGTGGGGGCACTGGTGGGGACAGTGGGGACAGTGGTGGGAACAGCGGGGACAGTGGGACAGTGGTGTGGTGGAGACAGTGGGGACAGTGGGACAGTGGTGGGGACAGTGGTGGTGGGGACAGTGGTGAGGGCGATAGTGAGGACGGTGGTGGGGACCCGCGAGTCGTTTGCCGGCGGCGAATGGTGGGGGCGGGGGGGGTTCGAACCGGTAGTGATCCCCCACGGTTTTTTAGGGGAGGGGTGTGGGGGTTTGGGTTGGAGCTGGTAGTGCCCCCCCTCAGTTTTCCGGAGAGTGGTGTGTGTGTGTGTGTTTTTTCTGGGGGAGGAGGGGGTGTTCGAGCAGGGGGTGGATTTTCGGAGGGGGGGACCCCCGGGTTCCGGAGGAAGAAAAAGAGGGGGGAATTTTCCACAGCAAAGCGGCGGTGGATCACGCTCTCTCCGGTATTGGTATTTTCTTGTTTTCTCCAAACTGTTCCACGTTTATGCAGTTCTGTCTGAAGTTGTATGCGAATTGGTCAGTGGTCCACGGCTTGATCGACAGCCTGATCTGATTTCTGACTCGGGATCTGTGTCGGTCTGGAGTCGAACTCCCCATCAAGCTCGGCTTGCAGGGCCAGGCTCTTGCCACCCATGCCAGATGGGTCTGTGTGGCCTGTCCCCCCCGAAGCTTAAGTCGGGCACGTCCCTCTACAGGAGGAAAATTCAAAAATAGTCAAACAAAAATAATCGGGGACGATCTTTGGAGTATGTTTTGACCAGTTTGAGGTATTTTTTCGACTATTTTAAATTTTTCGCCCAAAATCCCCCTGTAGGGGGACATGTCCGACCTAACCCGCTGCCCCTCGTGCTGCCTCCAGCAGCGGCCCAGGTGATTGGCCACCTACTCCCGCCGGCCCGCTACTGTTCACGCAGCGTCACGGGGGGTCACCACAGGGGGGGCCACCAGCTCGAGACGTTGGTTTTTATGTGTGCGTTTTTTTTTGTTGTTTTTTTTGTTTGTTTGTTTTGTTTCGTTCGTTCCTCTGTAAAAAACAGTACCCCCTGGCGATGAGGGGCGTGACCGCTGGGGGGAGGGCACCGGTCACGTCGTGGTCCGCGCCTGCGTCGTCTGGAGATGCTGAAGTACAGCCAATTCCCAGACGGCGCCGGCGCGAATCCTGACGTGACCAGGGGGCGGGGCGAGGGGGGGGGCGGCGGGGCCGGTCACAGGCGTTCTCGCGAGTAATGGAAAAGGTGTTCCATTTGGAATTCCCGCCCGAGGATGGCGTGGTCATAACCGGCGGCGGCTGCCAGAAGGGTGGGGACTCGAGCAAGATCGAGGCTCCAGGCATCATGGCCTTCGAGGTCGCCCCTCGCGGAGCCGGGACCGCCGCCCTTCTCTTCTCGTGGTGGCGCAGCTCCCAGGGCTGTCTGCTCCAGAGTTTGGGTGCCGCTTGCAATTCATCGAGGGACAACGAACGACTGAAAACGAAGCTCAGCCAGCGTGGACCCCAAACCGTGATTTCGTGCAATCTAGGTGGTGCAATACATCGGGGCAATCTATGTGGTACAATCCATACGTTTCAAAATATGTGGTACAAAGCAATGCAAAGCAATGAAACGCAGTACAACTCAATGCAACGCAATGTAATTAAGGCAAGGCAGCGAGCGCAATGCAGCGCAATACAACACAATGCAAAGCAGTGCAAAGCAATGCAATGACAACGCAGTGCAAAGAAATGCACTGCAATGCAATTCGATGCGAAGCGATGCAAAGCAATGCAAGGCAAAGCAAGCCACAGCAATGCAAAGCAGTGTAAGCAACGCAGTGCAAGGCAACGCAGTGCCAAGCAGTGCCACGCAATGCCGAGCACTGCCAAGCACTGCCGAGCAATGGCAGGCAGTGCAACGCAGTGCAGTGCTACGAAGCGCAATATGCAGAGCAAAGCGCAGCACTGCAGCACGATGCAATGCAGTGCGACGCCGTGCAGCGCAGTGCAACGCGACGCACTGCGGCGCAGCGCAGTGCGATGCCATGCGATTGCACTGCCCTGCGATGGCAGCGCGGCGACGGCCGGCGACGCGCCGCCCCGACCGCCACCCTGGGCCCCTCGGCGACGGCGGCGGCGGGCGGCGACGGGCGGCCACGGGCCGGCCGCAGCGGCACCCGGGGCCCCGCGGCGGCGGCGGCGGCGGCGGGCGGCGGCGGGCGGCCACGGGCCGGCCAGCGTGGCTCGACTAGACGTAGGAGTGACCTTTCGCCGGGGTGACCTTTGGGGCTGGCACAGTGGGGTTCCCCGATCGCCGAACGCGATGCGATGGCAGCGCCTTGCGCGCCTGTGCTTGGTCCCCCCGCAGCCCCCAAAAAGCCGCGCACCAAAGGTCACTCCTACCCAGGGTCACTCCTGCGTGTAGCCGAGTGGCACTCGGGCCCCAAGTTGCCGTGGAAGTGAAAAGTAGGAGCCCCCTGAGTGCAAGCCACCCGTTTCGGGACTGGACTGTTTGGGGGCCGCGCGGATGTCTCGGATCGCCTCCTGCGCCGCCCCCGTCCGCGCGCCAGGGAGGGGGTCCAGCGCCGATCGCAAGAATCCAGTGCGGACCTCCGAAAGTGTATGTTTCTGCACGTCTGGTTTTTCTCCAGTTCACCTCTCACGATAGCCCCCAAGAAGGGCGCGGCGGGGTCGTCGGCAGACTGCGAGGCTCTGATGGTAGGCTTCGATGTTTACGCATTGCGCAACGAGCCCGCCGCAGGCGCCGACTCTTCGTCAAGGCAGTGTGGGTCAGAAGCCGGGCGACGGCTGGCAAACCCGTGGCTGCTAAAACGGAGCTCCGAGTTTTTTTTTTTTTTTTTTTTTTTTTTTTTTCTCTCTTTTTTTTCGGGAAGCAGCCCTTTTACTATTTCGTGCGCTGAGCTCGATTCTGGGAGTTTGCTTTCTTCTTCTGGGAAGACCGTTTTAGCAGCCGCGGATTTGCCAGCCCTCGCCCAGCTTCCGAGTGGGTGGTGGGTGACGGGTACAGTCAACCCGCATAGGAAGAATGGGCAATCTTCCCAAGGGTACCTTTGCATCCTTAACTCCTCGGTCCACCTTTGGCCACTTCCGCTGGCCGCGCCCCGCTGGCAAAGTGTCGACATGGCCTTCCAAGGCCCTTGCAGCCTTGTCGTGCGTCCTTCTGGTGCGGGTTGACTGTAGGTCGCGGGTGGGTCGCGGCCAGGTCGCAGGCGAGTCGCGGGTGGGTCGCGTGCGGGCTGTGGGCGAGGGCGAGAACAGCAACAACCAACACACAACAACCAACACCTAACACTCAACTAAAATCTTTACTGCGGAAGCCCACATGCACTCAGGGACGGTGTAAGACCGCTCGGTGCCCTCACTCTAATATTCAGTCGGGCCTGTTCGTCTACAGGAGGAATGTTCAAAAATAGTCAAAAAGTAGTGAGGGGAGGATTTTTCGACTATTTTTGTCCATTTGGGGGTATTTTTTGACAACTTTATTTTCCGTCCGAAATCCCCCTGTAGGAGGACACGCCTGGCCTAACTCTGATATCCGGCGGTCAAGCGCCGATCCAAGAACTCCGCGGTGACTTCCGAGCGTTTATCTGCACGAGCGAGAAGGATACGGAAAGAATGGGTACGATGCCCAACAGCAGTTCCTGCTCACTTTGAACAGGACTCGCTGTCCGCGCCGCCGCGGCCTGTGCCCATTCGAGACAGAAGGCCGCCTGCCCAACAGCGGCCGCTGTTGGTTTGGGACAATACTTGCTGTTGGGCATTGTACCCATTCTTTCCGTACCCATCTCGGGCGTCCAAAGTTTATGCCTCTGCCGTTTTTGTGCTCCTCTTTCGGGGGGCGCCCGGTGGTTCTTGGGCCACATCTCGGGCCTCCGGCGGGCGCTCGGGCTGCTCCGGGCGCCTCCGGAGCGCCCTCGGTGACGAGCCTCTGCTGGAGGGCATCCTGGGGCTGGCAACGCGCCGAGAGCCGACGGAGCGCCAGGAAGCCTCGAGCGTCGAACGCCCGACGAGCTCGCCGCCAAGGGGAGCACCGGGCCACGCAGGAGCATCGGGAGCCAGCCAATAGCCTCGGGAGCCCCCGGGCAGTGCAGCGGCCACGCCGTGTGGCGAGCGTGTGTGGCTCCGGGGTCGGCCGCACGGTTTTGGGACCTGGGCCGTTCTCCGAGGATGTCTCGGACGCTTGGGCCCCCCGAGGTCCTGACAACGTGCGTTGGCGGGCCGTGCGGTGGGGTGGCTGGGGATTCGGAGGTCGCCGCGCGGTCCGTCACAGCACCGCTTCGGGACAGCCTTTTCATACGCGCAGCAGTTCTTGTTTGCTCTTTGCTCGCGATTCGGTTGTTCCAGTTCGTGACGTCCGACTTCGTCGTTGTCGCCTGCCTCCTTCCCCCGTTCCTTTCCCCTCCTCCTCCGCCCCTGTCGCCACACCGTCGTGGGCGAAAGACATCGCTGCCTCGCGGGCCCAGCCCTTGGAGGACCGCAGCCCCGCGGGTACGGGGCGCTTTTTGCGCGGATGCCCCCGCGTGGACTGTCTCCGTGCGGCCGCGCAGCCGTGGCATCGTGCCCCCGGGGAGTGCAGACCGCGAGGGCGCGGCTGCGCATCCGCTCGCCGCCCACGACGCCGTGGGGACCCACCCCCAGGAGCCTCTGGCTCGACGGCGCGCCGCCCTCTCCTCTGCGCTCGGGCCCGCCGTCGGCCCCGCGCCCCCGCCGCACCGTCCTGGGGCACGCGGCCGCCGCCGCCGCGGGGGCCGGGCCTGCCTCGTTTCTTGGTGGTCACCAAACGTGGTGGTGAGAACACCCGGTGGTGAGTTTTGGGCGATTTGGGTAATGGTTTTCGAGCGTTGGCTGGCCCAGGAAACGCGAAACCTCGTGGCGACCGCGTGTCCCCAAACCCGGTGGTGACCCAGAATTATTTTTTGGGGGAATCGGGGTCACCACCGGGTGTCTCACCACCTGGTTTGGAGACCACCAAGTGTCGTTTTCGAGCAGCTCGGGTGTACACGAACGAGGTGGGTGCGGAGGCGGTGGGCACGGTGCCCAGCAGCGGTGCCCGTGCATGCTGGGCGAGGACTCGCTGTCCGCGCAGGCCGCGGCCCGTGTCCACTCGAGATCAAGAGGTCGCCTGCCCAGCAGCGGCCGCTGTTGGTTTGGGACAGCATTTGGTGTTGGGCATTGTGCCCATGTTTTCCGTGCCCATTTCGGGCGTCCAGATTGGAACGTGCGCGTGCGGGGAGGCACGTGCATGGCGGAGGCACAGGGCAACACGGGCAGCTCGCGGGTGGACCCTCCTTAATAAGAGGACTTCCGTGCTGTAGTGACGCCCCCTGGCTCACTTGATGGGCCTGTTTTCCACCACCACCACCACCACCATAAGTTGGATGGGGGGAAGGAGGAGGACGAGGAGGAGGAGGAGGAGGAGGAGGAGGAGGAGGACGAAGAGGAGTAGGAGGAGGAGGAGGAGAGGACGAAGAGGAGGAGAGGAGGAGGAGGAGGAGGAGGAGGAGGAGGAGGAGGAGGAGGAGGAGGAGGAGAAGGAGGAGGAGGAGGAGGAGGAGGGAGGAGGAGGAGGAGACACAGACAAGGGGGGGATACGTCTGGCTCAGGCCGGCCTCGGACGCTTCCAAGGCCAATGCCTCTTCCTCTTTTCCCAGGGCAGCACTGCGGGGGGACAGGCTCAGGGGGGGGGGCAACGTAAGGGCGGATAGGCTCGAGGTCCGACGCTCTCGGGCGTCTTCGTTGGCTCTCGGTGGTCTTCCCGCCTCGGCGCGCCCCTCCAGCATCTGTGGAATCTCGCCGTGGGCGTCCCCCCGGGGTGACGACCGCCAGAGTGCCGAGTTGTGGCCCGAGAGGGAGGGAGGGAGGGAGGGGGGGAGGGAGGGGGGGGGGAGGGAGGGAGGGAGGGAGGGAGGGGGGGAGGGGGGGAGGGAGGGAGGGAGGGAGGGAGGGAGGGAGGGGGGCAACGTCTGGGTGGGGACACGCTGAGGGGGGGGAGCCGCATCGACGCCCACTGGTCCCTCGACCGCCGACGGTGCCAGATATGGCCCGCCCCGCCCAGGGCCGTGCGGATTCGCTGTCGGGATCCCGTCGCCAATCCATGGGCGATGCATCGCCGATTCAAGCTTGGTGTTTCCCCCCCCTACTCGGGAGCGGAAAAGAGGGGGGTGATGACTTGGGGGGGGATATCATGGCGGGAGCCATGATATGTCCCCAGATTTCATGGCGCCCCTTGTGATTTCATCACGTCCCTGGCCCCCCCGCTGGGCCGCGCACATGCCGCCGGTCATGATTTGCACCCCCCCCTCTTGGACACCCCCCTCTTTGCCGCTCCCGACCTGCGCTGGTCACCCCCCTGACGTTGCCCCTGGCCTCCTTTTCCCTTCCACCCCTCTGCATCCGTTTCCCTTTCGCGTGCCTGTCTTGTGTTTATCCCGGTGCCTGGTGTACTGGGCTCTTTCCCCCCCATGCGTCGGCGCAGCGTTGTTTCACCGCGTTGGGTGTTGGAAAGCCGGCAGCGCTGACGCCGCCGACGAACCTGTCGTTGGTGCGCTGGGGGGCCTGTGAGCATTATTTGAAGCTGGGTTGCCTAAGGAGGGGATTGGCGGTTGGTGAGTGGAGTTTTCTGTCATGGATGTCCAGAGTCACGTTGATGACGACTTGGCTTTCGAGTATGTCGATCGACTGGTATCGAAGGAGTGTTGCACACTCCGCCTGTCGTCACTTTCCTGCGTGGATTCCTCACGCCCTCGAGTCAGAGTCTTCTGCTCGTGCGCTGGGTTCGATCGATAGCAGATTTTGCCTTTGTCGTGAGGTCAGACTGGTTTTGTCTTGCCCCGGAAGAGAGCTTCAATTGACGGTCTTCCAGGAAGCAATCTCGGAAGTCTTCTCGGAGTCCTTTCCACGAGCACGCTCGATGTCCTTTGAGAGCTCTCAGGGGTTCTGCTTTCACGCTGTGGGCCTCCCAGCCTGCACCCATGGCTTCCTCCCTAGCCCAGGACCGGACCTCCGCACATTGCTATCTGCATCGCCGAGTCCAAGGGCGCCCCGGCGAGGTGTCAGATCTTCAACCTCGAGAGCCCCTCGCGGCCGACGGCTGTGAAGAATTTCTTCAAGGCGAGAGACGTGCGCGTCCGTCGGCAGAGCTGTCTGCAGGGGCAACGAGGTGGGGGGGGTAGGCTCACGGGGGGGGGAATGTATCGACCCCCAGTCGCCCACTGATCGCCCAGCGGTGCTCGATAGCCCACACCGCCCAGGAACCTCCAGATTTGCTATCAAAGTCCCATCGCCGATCTATCGGCGACGTGTCGCCGATTCCATCTCGACGTATGCCCCCCTTGAGCTGGCCCCCCCTATCGTTGCCCCTCCTGTCTGGTCCTGCCTTCCCGTGCTCGAATGACTTGGTCCCGCAAGGTTCTGGGCACGTGTGGCAGTCAGTCCAGCTGCCTGCGTCAGGCCCCGTCGTGGGGCCGGACCAGAGGATGGGCGTAGGCAAAGGGGGGGGGGAGGGGTACGACATCTGCTGCATGCAGCCGGGTGTGGCTCCGCCGAGGGACGCCTTCCTCGACACGTTGGCGCCTCGGGCGTCGGAGGGCGCCAGTGACACCAGGTGCGTGAGCTGCTTCGCGGACCTCCCCTTTGCAAACCCTCCCGTTCCATCGAGCTGGAGACGCCGTGCCAGCGCAGAACTCTGCGGGGCGAGGCTCCGAGCATCGCCCAGAAGGCCGTCACGCGTAGCACCTCTCGTCCTCGGTTATTTGAGGGCTCTCATGGAGTCTCCCTGGGCCGTCTTAGGGCCGTCTCGTCTTGGGGCCCTCTTGGACCGTCTTGGTTCCGTCTTGGGCCCGTCTGGTTTTTTTCTCGGCTTCGGGGCCTCTTGGGGTCCTCTTCGGCCGTCTTAGGGCCCTCGCGGGCTGTTCTTGTCCCTCTGGGGCCGTCTGGAGCCCTGCTGGGGCTGTCCTGGGCCGACTGGGAGGATTTTTGGAGCCCTCCTTTGGCTTGGAGAGGTTTGGGGAACGCCAAGTATTACAAGCCTACGGATGTCTAAACGTTGTTGAATCAGACCGTAATAGTGATCTTCCTGGACGGCTTATTGGCCTTCCTGTGTTTTGTTTAAAGCCTCTTGGGGCCCATTTCACACATCTGGGGATGTTTTTGGGGCTGTCGCCTACCTAGTGAGGAAACTTTCGGCCATCTTGGCGGCCTCGGCGACCTTCCTGCACAGTCTTCCAGGCTTTGGCAAGATTTGTGCAGCTTCAGGCCTCGTACCGCCCTGGGAGCCTCCGGGGAGAGGGACGGTGCACGCACAACTGCGTGACCAGACGGTGGGGGCGGGTTCCTTTCGAATGCCAACAGGCGTCCTACCGCACAGCATTTGGCATTCACGCCTCAGCATGCCAGGCGGCACCGTGGCGGATAACAGGCACTTGCCTAACCCAGAGTCGGCGCTGACATCGACCATGCACGAAGTGCATGTTAGTGCCAATCCCCTGCATGTGAATCTGAACTCCCCTGCATGTGAATCTGACCCCCCTACAAGATACCCGCCAATCTTATCCTGCGCGTAATGCTTTCTTCATTATCTAACGTTTGTCGCATTCCATCCCCTGAGTCACGGGGCCCATCTAGCGCGCCCTTCTGCGCGTCTGGAATGGTCTCGGCCATTGCCCACTTCTCGCCCACTTCTCTGCGCCCCTCTGGCGTACATTGGCGCCCACTTCTCATGCAAGAGGCCTGGCACGCCCACGAGCCACCCTCACATACCCATGCACTGCGACTTCGGTCCACAGGGGGGCATGCCCCAAGAAGGGTGATGCGGACGCCGCATTCGATTTAGGGGTGGCAGCCAGGGTTCAACCTCATCCCATGGTGCGAAGCCGGATGTGATATTGCGAAGGCCTTACAACCGGTAGACGACGACGACGAAGAAGACGACGACACCGGCGGCGGCGACGACAACGACGCTGATGTGGGCCAGAGTCCCCAGGGATGCTTCTTGGTGTCTCTTCGGAAGGTTCTCGGGGGCCTCTGGGAGGAACTTTGAGGCCTCTTGGGGGCCTCTTGGGGGGAGCCTCTTGGGGGCATCTTCGGGCTTCCTGGGGACCTCTTGTGGGCCTTGGGGCCTCTTGGGAACCTCTTGGGGCCTCCTGGGAGACTCTCGGGGGCCTCTTGGGCCGTTTTGGATGCGCTTTGGGCTGTCTTGGGGTCCTCTTGGGCTGTTTTGGGGTCCTCTTGCAGGCCTCTTGGACCGTCTTGGGGCGATCCGATCTTGGGGGCCTCTTGCGCCGTCTGTGGGCGGCGGGAAGTGGAAAAGGAGAGAATCCTCAAAGCTTTCGGAAAACCAGCGGGAAATCAATGAATTTGGCCTCTTGGGATCCTCTTGGGATTGCTCTTGGAGGCTTCCTGGGCAGTCTGGAGGCCTCCTGGGCAGTCTGGAGGGCGTGAAGGCGTTTTGAACCGATCGTTTGGCGATTGGGGGCCTCTTGGACCATCTCGGGTGCCTCTTGCTCTTGGGGCACTCTTGGCCTGTCTTGGTATTTTCTTAGGCTCAGGGACCCCCAGGGGGGATGCGTATCTGACCCCCCCCCCGGGACCCCCCCCCTTCCCCCCAGGACCCCCCCCGATGGGAAAGGGATCAAAGGGAGCTATATTATTCCCTCGCTGACAGACTTCAACTTGAGGAGGAGGGTGCAGGCAGGGAAACGGGACGACGGAGACGACGATTGACGGAGACGACGCCTCGAACGGACAAGCCCCTCACACACGCCGACAGGGTCGGCGGATTTGACTTCATTCCAGGGTGCGAAGCCGTATGTGATATTTTCCCCTACCAGCTCATTGCGACTTTCTTTTAGTGTTAAGTCGGGCCTGTCCCTCTATAGAAGGACAATTCAAAAATCGTGGAACAATAGTCTGGGGACTATTTTCGGAATATTGTTTGACTATGTGGGATATTTGTTGATAATTTGTCGCCCAAAATCCCCCTGTATGGGGGACAGGCCCGACTTAATTTTAGCGCCAGGTGACGCAAATTTTCAGCATGCATCTGAGGCAGGCGCTCGCTCGGAAGACTCGCCACCCACGGGGGCGCTCTGGTCACGCCGCTTGGGGTCAGCCACGCGCGTCGAAAGCCCGACCACCGGCAAGATAAATGCTCATGCAGAGTACGCACTTTCGGGGTCCCCAAACAGGGTGGTGACCACACCGTGCGGTGAGTCGTTGGGGATTCGGGGTCGCCGCACGGTTTTGGGACTCGGGTCGTTCTCCGAGGACGTCTCGGGCGACAGGGGCCTCCTGGGTCCCAAGACCGTGCGGTGACGGACCGTGCGGTGAGGTTTCTTGGGGTTCCTAGGTCACCGCACGGTCTGTCACCGCACCGTTTCGGGACTCCAAAGCGCTTGTCTTGTCCATGCACGCACAGGGCCAGTCTACAACAGATCTGTTCCGTCTTGGAGGCGGCCGGGGGATCTGAGCTGGCCGGACCAGGGGGGTGGGGGAGGAAGGTAAATCCGCTCAACATTTATCTCTGGACCCCTCCCGGGGCCCATCTGATACAATGGTTCATCCCGGATTCGTTTTCGGTCCTGGGAACTGAAAACGGCCCCTGGAGGCCGACAAAGGAAAATTAGCTTGGCGAAGGACCCCACCATTTGCAGTTGTTAGTGTCGCAGATGTGAGACTCGTTATCTGTGGAGCCCGCCTCGGGGCCACGAAACGTGTGAGGATGTTGGCCGAATCGGGTACGAGTTCGCCATGCGGACTGTGCCGCTGGAGCCTTCGCTCCCTGTGGGGCCACGAAGCGTTCGAGGTTTGTGCCGAATCGGGTGCGGATGCGCCAGGCGGACTGCCACTGGGGCCTTCGGTGGAACGCGTTACGGTGCCACGAAGCGTGTGAGTGGTGTGCCGAATCGGGTGTGGGTGCGCCTGGCGCTGAGGCCTTAGGTGTGGGGCCACGAAACGTGTGAGAGGTCTACCACATCGGCCGGGGTGCGTCATGCGGGCTGCGCCACTGGGGCCTTCGGTGGAGCTCCTTATCAGGCCACAGAACCATTGTGGGGGTGTGCGATATCGGGTGCGGGGACGCCATGCGGGTTGTGCCGCTGGGGCCCTTCGGTGGAGTTCCTTGTGGAGCAACGAAACGTGTGAGGGCTGTGCCGAATCGTGTGCGGGTACGCCTTGCGGACTTTGCCGCTGGGGCCATCGGTGGAGCTCCCTCGACGGCCACGAAGCGTTTGAGGGGTGTGTCGAATCGTGTGCGGGTGTGCCATGCGGACTGTGCCGCTGGGACCTTCGGTGAATCTCCCCATGGGTCCACGAAACGTGTGAGGAATTTGCCGCATTGGGTGCGGGTGCGCCATGCGGAGTGTGCCGCCGGGGCTTTCAGTGGAGCTCCCTATCGGGCCACGAACCGTTTGAGGGGTGTGCCGAATCGTGTGCGGGTGCGCCATGGGGACTCAGCCACTGGGGCCTTCGGTGGAGCCTCTTTGGGGCCATGAAGAGTGTGAGAGGTGTGCCACATCGGGTGCGGGTGCGTCATGCGGACTGTGCCACTGGGGCTTTCGGTGGAGCTCCCTATGAGGCCACGGAACCCTTGTGGGGTGTGTGCGACATCGGGTGTGGGTACGCCATGTAGGTTGTGCCACTGGGGCCCATCGCTGGAGTTCTTTGTGGAGCCACGAAGCGTGTGAGGGGTGTGCCGAACACAGTCGATGTTGATTAGTAGGTCGGCCCTGTCAAATCAAGGGTACCCTTGTGTCCTATGTTTCGCGACCCACGCCTTCCGTAGTGTGCGGGTACACCATGGGGTCTCTGGCGTGGAGTTCCCTATGGGGCCACGAAGCTAGAGAGGGGTGTGCCGTGCTGTGCCAAATCGTATGCAGGTACGCCACGCGGACTGTGCCACTGGGGCCCTCGTTCGGTGGAGCTCCCCAGGGGGCCACGAAGCGTGTTAGGCGCATGCCGAAATGGACGTGCGGGGGGCAGAGGCAGGGATGGGTGGAGGAAGGATAGGGAGGAGGAGGAGGTGGAGAAGGAGGAGGAGGAGGATCAGGATGAGGATGAGGACGAGGAGGAGGATGAGGAGGAGGAGGAGGAGGAGGAGGAGGAGGAGGAGGAGGAGGAGGGAAGGAGAACGCGGGGCGCTGTCTCTTCAAAACGAAGACCCAATACCACAGGATGGTTGGGAGAAACATCCTCGAACCCAGAACCTCGATCCTCGCCGCCCCCAGCCGACTCAACGTTTCTTCTGCCATTCTTCCTGGGCTCTTGAGAGCCCTGGGCGCGGGGGAGGGGGGATCGGGCCGGACGTAAGGGTGGGATAAGGAAAGTGGGGGGGGGTCGAAATCTGCTGCATGCAGCTGGTTTTCGCTCCGCTGCCGGGCCCATTCCTCGATACGTGGACGCTTCCCGGCGCCAGGAGGCGCCAGGAGAACCAGCTACGTGAGCTGATTCTCTACCCTACCCTTTGCTATCCTACCCCTTCGCCCCCCCCGAGGGGAGCGAGGTGTGATGGTGGTGGTGGTGCGGGGGGCGGCGGGGGGGGCGTGGGGCGGCAGCGACACGTCCCCCGATCCCAGTCCCGCCCTGTCCTTTGGCCCCCGTCGGCCAGGCCTTTCACCCTGCCCGTGTTCCTCCTCCGGGAGACGTCACCGTTTGGTTTTGACGACTATTGGCTGCAGGCAGTTTGCGCCTCCTCTGTTGCCGTTTGTCGCCTTCTCCAGTGGCTTTGACGCTCACTCACGTCCAACCAATCGCCCCTATCGGCCTTTTTCAATCGTTCTCCCCCCTCCCACCCGCTCCCATCTCTCACTGATGCGTACAGTCAAGACGCAAAAGTAGGGAACACTTTGGTCCAAAGAGGGGCGGAGGTTTTCGGGTCGGCCCGTAGATCTGGGTCGGGGAGCCTATTTGTGGCCGAGGCTCGATGTGGCCAGAAAAGCCCACTCCTTCCTTATGTTGCGTTCGTTACGGTAGCGCGACGGCTGTAGGCTCCTTCGCTGCCACTGCAGTTTCCTTCCTCGCCCGTGTGGTCAGCCCATCCCAAGCGGGCACCCAGAGAGGCTCAGACCGTACAGATGCTGTGGAACAACACGGGGTCCGCGCTGCTGGTGAAGAGCGCCACCGAGGTGGACGAGTCTGGCAAGAGCTACTACGGGGGTGGAAGGGCTGTTCCCAAACCTCCAGCCTCGTGATCAGTCTGTGTCTCTCTCTCTCTCTCTTCCTCCTCTCCTCCCTCTTCCCCCTCCCTTTTTCGCTTCACCCTAAACCTTGGTCAAGTGTGCAACACTCACCATTTCACATGCCAGGGATATGTCTCTGCATGTCCGACGTTTCACGTGTACGGTTTTTCCACATATTCGTTGAGCTCATCGGGTGGAGGGGCCATGCCAATTTCTGATAATCCCCTTACCCTGAAATTAGTCACCACTCAAAGAGCAGCATCAAGTCTCTTACAGGCATATTCATCAGGGAACGCTGGTTGATGCGTTCCCCGGCAATGTAGACGTCCCCGGCAGTGTGGCAAGGCTCTTGCATTTTGGGATGTTGCACTCTCGTGCCCACGTACGGTAGGTTTGTGTCGTGCTGACGCGGTGACGAACCTGCTGCGGGCGTCGAAGGCTGAACGCCTCCAGTGGCCCAGAGTCGGCCAATAGTGATGGGCCTGTTTTACACCACCACCACCACCAGAAGTTGGAGGGGGGAAGGAGGAGGAGGACGACTGGGAATAGGAGGACGAGGAGGAGGAGGAGGAGGAGGTGGAGGAGGAGGAGAAGGAGGACCCCTTCCCCCTCCAACTTATGGTGGTGGTGGTGGTGGAAAATAGGCCCATCAAATATGGAACGATCTGGCGATCGAAAAACCGCCGATTGCTCAAGGATGGAACGATTCGCGCGGCTGCAGAAAAAACCAACGCCCCGGGCCGTCACGGCGCGAAGCTGCCGAAAACCGGCCCGGCTCTTCCTTGCACCTTTGCCTGGACGTTCTGGTGGCCCATGTATAGGGTCTGGCTTGAATGAGGAACACTTTCTTCTCAAAAGTGGCTCGGTCGTTCCTTTGGTTTGAATGCGTTCCGTACCTTTTTGGCGGTGAGCCCCCCTGGTGTGTTCCTTCGGACTTCCTAGATTTACTTGGGAAAAAAGAGAGGCTTCGTTCCTTAGGTCAGGCCGAATACCGTATGGAACGATCTGGCGATCGAAGAGCCTCCGCTTGCTCAAGGATGGAACGATTCGCGCGGCGTCAGAAAAAAAAAAACAAACGCCCCTGGCCGTCACGGCGCGAACTTGCCGAAAACCGGCTCGGTTCTTCACTGCACCCTGCATGGACGCTTTGAGGGCCCATGCATTTGCAGACGCTCTCTCTGTTCGGTGTCGTTTTACCGATCCCCATTCCCATCCCCATCCCCTTCGAGACCCCCACGAAATTACCACCCCAGTTGGGGATACACCACTCGAAACCCGAATGGAGCGGCCTATATCCCCATCTAGGGGGGTAAATCGCTCAGAGGTTGGCCGACCTGTGCTATGTTCTGCCAGGTCCTCCACTCTAGTTTGCTTGTTTGCTTCATCAGAATGTTTGCGCCCAGACTCGAGGATCATTTGTGCATTTGGAAATCTTTGGGGGGGAGTCAGGCAGGCCTAGGAACGGGATGGCTGGCTCCAAGAAGGCTCCAGAACGATCTCGGAACGCTGCAGAACGCTCTTGAACGGCCGCGGGGCCCGATACATTCTCCAGAACCGCCGGATCTCAGAGGGGACTTATGCATAACCACCGCCTGGGGGATCGATCCTGGGACCCACTGGGTCCGGGGTCCCAGGATTACGATTGGGACGAAAAATCAAAAATACCCTCCAAATATTCCAAAATGGGCAAAAGATACTCAAACAATCATCCCCAGACTATTTTTGACTATTTTTGAATACTGCTCCTGTAGAGGGGACAGGCCCGACTTAATCCCAGGACGTCGGTATATCCCCGCCTCGCAAGGAAACGGTGCCGAGCAGCAGTTTTACAGGTGCTCCCTCGCGGGTTCGGCACGCGGTGCGTCGGGTTTTCTCGGTGCACCTCGCGGGGGCTCCCGCACGCAGGCCTCCTCGTGCCGCGCCACGGCATGCCACTCTGTGAAGCCTGTGGCGGCGCCGGGACGCTGGCGCGCACTCGGGGTTTCTTCCCCCGTTGGCTAAGCGGCAACGGCATGCGAACCCGACCCTCGCCGATCAGCGTCTCCGGCCCTCCCCAGGCAACCACCTCTACTTTCTGAGGGCCGACGGCGAGGACGCGCAGGGAGGGCAGGGACCCACCGCGAGGCGGGGGGCAGAGGCAGCAGAGAAGTGATGGACGCCGGCTGGAAAACGTCAAACTGTTTACCGCCTGGATCCTCGCAGACCTCCCCGATCACTTCCCACAGCAAACATTCAGGAGGAAAAGAACACACACAGACACAATTAATCGTCGATTCCCCAGGAAATATGGGAAAATGTGGGAAGTGGGGGGCAAGACAAACACCCAGAAAGTATGGGAGCATATGGGGAATCCTGTTATTTGTGTGCATTTAGTTGTGTGTCCCAGGGCCCCTTCAATCATGTCGAACTCGGATCTGGTCCTCGGGTCAGCTCGCGCAGTGATGTGACCACGACCCTCAGAATTGCACAGGGAGGGTGGGAGTCTCTAGGCCTCCTAGATGGGGTCGGAGTAGATGGGGTCGGAGGATCCCGCCGCATCGCCGATGCATCGGCGATGCGGCTCGATGTGGGGCCCGATTTCCTCCACGCCGACGTCTCGGACGTATCGCCGACGTCGACCATGCATCGCCGGTGCATCGCCGATGCATCGGCGATGCATCGCCGATGTGTCGGCGATGCGGCGCGATCCTCCGACCCCACCTACTCCGACCCCAGCAAGGAGGCCTCTAGGGAGGGAAGCGGGGAGGGAGCTCGCCGTCTCCCTTCTGCCCCGCCTCCCGCCCTCCGCCGACTTCGTCTCCGAAGGGGAGCTCTGAGGTGGCCCCGAAGGGGCAGCCTTTCGCTTTTGGAGCAGGCCGCCTCTGGCTCGAGCATCGCTGCTGTTTTCCGTGGGCGTCCGTCCTGCACGCCCGGCCCTGGTGCTGGTGGTCGCCCATCGCGGTAACAGCGGGGGGGAGGGAGGGCCGCCATCCCCTTCGAGATCCCCGCCGAATTACCACCCCAGTTGGGGATACGCCCCTCGAAACCCGCAGGGGACGGCCTATGTCCCCATCTAGGGGGGCAAATCGGCCAGCGGGGCCCAGGCCACGCCGCTGGGGATGGGGATCGGTTAAACGCTACTCAGAGGGGCGGAGGCGCGAGGCGTGAGGGGCGAAGAGGGTCTTTTTTCGGGGCAGATGCGGAGAGAGACGGCTGCGCCGTGGCATGCTCCTGCGTCCCTGCGTTTCGCTGATGTGTCCGTGGGGCAGTTGCTTACGATGCCGCTGCCAAACCGAGCAGTGCGAAAAGTAGGTCTTCGATGGCGGGAGAATATTATGCCAATCTCTTGCCAACTTTCGATAGCGCACCGAGGGCACTTGGTGTTTGATCTGAGGCACCGTTGCCCAGGTAAAGAGTTCCGACGTGATCCGGCAACAAGGAATTTGGCAGTACAGCCGAGTGCCCGATCCCGAATTCACGCTGCGCTTTTGTTGACGAGGATGGTACACGGATGGTGTGTGTGTGGGGGGGGCTCATTGACCATGGTCGATGACCCCTCGAGCGGGGAAGGGGTTGTTCAATAGTGAGATGTAAGGATGAAACCTTCCCAAAGCGAATTGGATGGGGCTGGACGGATTCGATCAAGAGGGGCGCTTTGGCGTACCAGCCTGGGCGACCGTCCGCTCGGGCAGGTCGGCGGGGCTGAACCATACCAAGCAGCCGAAGGGCATTCTGCGACGCCCTCACATGCCAGAGGACCCAGTGGCGGCTCACAGATCTACGTGGCACATGGTTGGGCCTCCAGGGCGACACAAGCGAATGCGGCGTGCATAATCGACGTATGCTTCCAGTCGGTTGTTGTAGGGGTACCAGCAAGACGGAATCCTGTGGCGTTAGCGATGGATCATTCTGGTCCTGTTGATTAGGTCGTAGGCTGAGGTTTGTGTGCAGACTCAGAGGCGAGCCGCTATGTGGCAAGGTCGTTCGCCGCATGCTTTTTTCAAGCCTGCAAGCCGTGCCAGCGGTAGGCTAGTGACCCTCTTCGCTTTGTTACCGCGCGTTGATGAGCGACGTGCTCACACCTACTAGGGGACTGAGGAGGACGCGCACGCCAAATCCACCGTTGCCTCTGTGTTGCCCTCTTCCTGCTCTTCCTTCTCTCGGCTACCCCGCTTGTTGCGCCGATGCGAGTTTTCAGTGTTCTCTTATCGAGGCTCTCCCCAGTGGCTGACTTGACGCGCATGTGGGTCGATCACCGAGTGCTCGCTTCGTCCCAGGAGGAGGAGGAGGAGGAGGAGGAGGAGGAGGAGGAGGAGGAGGAGGAGGAGGAGGAGGAGCAGTAGGAGGAGGAGGCGGAGGAGGAGGAGGAGGAGGAGGAGGAGGAGGAGGAGGAGGAGGAGGGGGGAGCAGGAGCAGGAGTAGGAGGGTTTCGAGGGGAGGAGGGCCTTTTTTGGCCCCCCCCCGAGAGTGCCGCCTGGGCGCGAGCTGGGGGGATTTGAGTCATTTCTCGCTCTATAGGCCGTAGGCGTTCCGACCGAGCAAGTCGAGGGTTTACTCAACCCCTCGCGATGCCAGCACGAAACTTTTACGGTGCCTGTTTGCAAGGCGTGCCGGGAACAGAGTGGAGTGGAAGTGACATCATTGCTCGAATGGGAGTTTCGAGTCAAGTCAAGGAGCAGGAGGAGGATGGAAGTGGGAGGAGGGGGAGGGTGGACGCGGGGAAGGGGAGAGAGAAGGAGAGGGGCAGGCCCCTCGGGGCCGTCGTGAGGCCCGTGCCCATTTTGGAGGTCTCTTTGGCCATCATGGGGGCAATCCTGGAGTCCTCTTCAGGCCCTGTCGGGCCTCCCTGGGAAAGCCCAAGGGGCCCCGAGGTGCCCCCGAGAGGCTGCAAGGCAGTCGCAAGAGGGCCCCACAACGGCCAGTACGGGTTCATGGGCTCTCCTCACCCTGCCGCAGGCTGGGGGGTGGCCACTGTGGACATGAGCCCTTGCTCACGTTGAGGATTACAGTATGGGATCCTTGCCAGGATCTTGAAGTTGAACATTCGTTGTTTCAAGGCATCTGACTTTCGTAACTCCACCAGTCATACATATTCACATGTTATCTGTGCCTAACCGACCGCGATTATCCACACTGTATTTTCGGCGTTCGGCTAACATAACATGCAGATTTCGTTTCATATTGATGTGAGAATCTAGGTTTCCAGTCGACAACCTAATTCGTCCCCTCCTCTCAACACGCATGTTGTTCTGCTACGGGGGTTGTTGTCAGCGATCCGTTGCAGGCTTCATACTTGTAGTTCATGTCTGCATGGTTCGTGGGATTGACACTGCTGTGAACCAGGATCCGTCACGCATCACAAACAGCCAGGAGGGAGCAGCCCCGACGCACCTTGGATGTCATTACATGGGTGTCTGCGGGTTTTCGTGCTGAAGCTGCAGTGCCACAGCGGTCACACCCTCATTTGCAGAGTAGGTAGGCGTTTTGACACGAAGGTGATACCAACGTTGGGAACAGGTTGCCCTCGATTGCAGCTGCAGCCAGTTCAGCCGCTGCACAACGTAGTTCTTTACCATTTGTGGCTCAATAGTTGCGAGTCGATCAGCATGCTTGTCCTTGCTGCAGCAACACCTGTTCGAATGGGATGTTGGCGTCTGCCACCAAAGCGTTCTTGGAGTGTCTGCTCTTCTTTGCAAGCGTTGGCTGTGAACTATGGCCTCACTGCATGTTCTTCGAGTTCAGCTGCAGGTGCCACAGCTTCGGCATCACTGCCTTGTACACCTGACTTGGGACAGACTGTAAAAGGGATGGACGTGCTGCTTCAGCACGGTTTTCTTCGTCTGCCTGGTGCCGTGCCCAACCATGTTGTTAGCACCTTGCTCAATCTTTTGTGGGAAGGGTATGCCAATACGCATGGTGTCTCGCGTGATGACCCGCAAAGTTGGGTAACCAAGCAAGGACGCGATGTTCGATTGTACGCACCGCCATCGCGGAAGCTTGCGGACTCGCCATCTTACGCGACCTTGACACACGCGGTTCATATGAAGATAAGGGCGCTCTTAGAAAACGAGAGATGGATGTTACGAGGTGCCACGGTCTTTGTAAACTGTCCTGTTCCATCCAAGAGGTGGTCTTTGCCTACGAGCTGGCACACCGATATGCCGACCAAGGCAAGTCAGCCAATGCCAAGAACGTTGTATGTTTTCGCATTCCTTGACCATGCATTGCCTCAGGGTGGGAATACATTGCTGTTGGCAGGTTCGACGCGTTGTGCCCTAATTTCCAGTGATAAGCTGCACAAGCCAAACTTCGCCTTCGGCGGAGGCGCAGATCTGCAGGAGGAGCTCGCGCAAGACAATGAGTGGTTCTCAGATCTGTTCTTTCCTGAACGGACCTCCTGCTCCGAAGAGGGGCGCTTCCGACGGCTCATGGGGACCGGCTCGTTATTCGCAGGTGTTCCAACGGCCGTTGTGGAGCTCACTGGTGCCCCTGGTGACTTGGTGGTCTGGGATCCGCGCTCTCTTCACAGCAAGAGCGTCAACGTGAGTAGTCGCCCGCGCTCCGTGATCAGATTCAAGCTGGCCCTGGCCAAAACAAAGACACTTGTTCCAATCTGTGTACTCCAGATTTCGTAATAAAAGGGAGGGGTCTGGACCCTCCAAGACAAGCCATTTCAGACCCCCCCCCGTGGGAGAACCCTCCAAAACATCGTCCCCAGACCCCCCCAGGCCCTCCAAAATAGCCTGGAAGAGACCCCCCCCGAAATGAGACCCCCCTCGTTTTATTACGAAATCTGCAGTATCTTGCAAATCCATAGTGCATGCTGAAGCTTTGCATTGGACGATATACATATGGACTGGCGCAGGTCTGGGTAGGCAGAGCACAGCGGACGTACCCTGATATGGTTAGGCGGAAGCAAACAATGCCAAACTTTGTAGAGTCTAATCGAAGTCATTAAGCCTTAGTGCACATCAGAGACGAACGTTGATACTGAAAGTAATTACCCGGGGGATGACGCCTACGACTGCGCGTTTTGTGCTCGATCACTGGCGGGTTTCGATTCTGTGGTCCAGGATTTGCGTTTCTAGTTCAGACGCCAGCTCTCGTGTGGAATTCCCTGCCGTTTTGCTCGTCCAGGCGGGACGGCAAAGGAGCCAGTTCAAAGTTGTGCAGGGCCTCCTTGTCACAAGCACCGACAGGACGCAGACAAGACGACTGCATTCGATCGGAAGGTAACAAGACATAATTCGACGCGTGAAAAAAGGCACACGCCATGCATTCAACAGTGTAAGAAGGAAGGAAGGAAGGAAGGAAGGAAGGAAGGAAGGAAGGAAGGAAGGAAGGAAGGAATGAGGAGGAGGAGGAGGAGGAGGAGGAGGAGGAGGAGGAGGAGGAGGAGGAGGAGGAGGAGTGCCTTGTGAGTCGAAGGAGTGCCCATGCCCCTCTGGAGGAGGAGGAGTGCCTTGTGAGTCGAAGGAGTGCCCATGCCCCTTCGACCCCACCTTGCCTCGGTTGGCCCTGTGCCCAGCCCTGCCCCCTGGTCCATACGGTGGAGGCTCGTGCCCAGAAGCACCCTGCTTGCCTCCAGGGTGCCCCGGGTCTCTGGGGTTTCGACGGTCTCGCTGTGGACGGCGCGACGTTCCCTGGATGGACGCCCTGGTCTCTCAGGGTGGGGCTGCTTGTGGAAGGTCTCTCCTGGTCGGGCCCCCACCGTATCCGCTCCAGCCCTCCTCGAGCCCGTGCCCTTGGCCCTGCCGGGGCGGCGCGCGCAGGGGGGCGGGCGCGGAGGGGGGCGGCCTCCCGAGCAGGCGGCGCTCTCTTCAGAGGGCTGCAGGGCCGGAGGCCTGGAGATGGGCACCAACACCAAGACAGCGGGTTGCCTCCACAGAGGGGGCAGATGATCCTAGAGTTTCGGTGTTGGTGGCAGTAGCTCGGCCACCTTGAAAGCCAGAATCTGACCACCATCACCGAGATCGGGGGCTTCTTCCCTCAGTGGAGGCACACCGCCGAAAAATTGGTGTTGGTGTCAAGCTCTAGGCCTGCGACATAGGGCGCCGTCGGAGAGGTGCCCGCTTGGCTTCCGGGGAGGCGCCGTCGGAGCCGCGAGGGCCCCCCGTGCCTGCCCAGAAGCCTGCCTGGCTTTATTCAGGAGGGAAAAAAACACACAGACACAATTAATCGAGGATCCCCAGAAAATATGGGAAAATATGGGAAGTGGGGGGGAAGACAAAAACCCAGAAAATATGGGAAAATATGGGGGGTATTTTTATTTGTGTGTATTTATTTGTGTGTCCCAGTTCCCCTTCATTCCTGGGGTCGACTGAGGAAAACAAAAGCGCCACACGTATACAAACTTGTGGCGCTCCGCGCAGAGGTCGGGTCCGCGAGGGGCCCCCCCCCGGCGGCGCTTCTGGCGCCGCCCCTGGCGGGCTCCCCGCGCCAGGGAGGGGGGCACCCAGCGCAGATCCAGGACATCGCGGGGAGCGCGAGCGGCTTCTGTTTATGGCGTCTCTTCTTCTTCTCCTTCTTCTTCTTCTTCTTCTTCTTCTTCTTCTTCTTCTATGGGAGGCCTCCCTCCTCGCGCCGTCCTGCCCCCGCAGGAGTCCTCCATCGTGGCCAACCCGGACGAGGGCCTGATCCACGACGTGTCGTGGAGCCCGACGCAGGACCGGGCCGCGAGAGCCGCCGAGCCCGGGCCAGCCTGCGGGGAGCGCCGGGGGCCCGCGCGGCCCCGGTCTCGCGGCGCCGTGGGAGGCTGGGCCTCGGGGAGGGCCATATGGTGGCCGAGCGGCCCGGCAGGCCCGCGTGCCATGCTCGAGAGGCTCGGGCTTCCTCGGCCGATGGTGGTGCCCTGGGGAGTTCTTTTTTTGTAGGTCCGGAGAGGAAAAAACACACAGACACAATTCATCGTCGATTCCCAGAAAATATGACCGGGTTCTCGGGCCCGCCCGCCCCCCATCCCCGCTGCCCCCCCCGGATCCCCTTGCCGTGTCTATCGCGCAGGTCTGAAAGGGGTGCGCAGTGCTGGTGCGCGCGGGCACGCGTGGGTCTGCCCCGGGTCAGGTCATCGTCGGGGAACGTAAGACTCGAGGAAGCCGGGACTCGGGTTTGCCGACGTTTTTGGGATGAGCGCGTCCTGGATTGTGACGGTCCAGTTTTCGTGGGATGTCTGCAGCGGGAGTTCGCGTCAAATTTCAGATTGGGTCTCGACATGTTCATTGATGGCCCCGTCAGGCCAACCCAAGTCCCCCGAGCCCGAGTCTTACGTCTCCCCGATATCGGCCGCCACCCCCCCATCCCCCCCCTCACCAGATCACCCGGGCGATCGCAGCACAATTGACAGCGTTCTCTTGGGTGTCGCTGTTGTTCGTCGGAGGGGCTCCTGGGGGTCGCCCCGGGGGCGGCCTCGGAGCGGTGCCGCGTGGCGTCCTAGAGGCCGATGGGGCGCCCGGGGGCACCTCTGGCAGTCGCGGCCTGTGCATCGTGGCGCCCTGGAGGCGCCTGCCCCGCCTTGCCCCAGCAGGGGTCGGCGACTGCAATCTGGGCCTACTGGGCCGGAGGATCGCGCCGCTGGGAGGCCTCTATACAATGGGTGTGATTGTGCCAACTTTGCGTTGTGTCGACCGGCGTCGACTGTCGAGCAATCTGACGTTCCAGAAGCGGCCGATCGTTCAAGGTCGAACGAGCCCAGCGGCGTCAGAAGCCAACGCCGGGAACGACGCGATACGTAATCACCTGCCGTGCGCTGGGTTGTGGTTTGCGAGAGGCGCCGTTGGGTCTTCGGGGTCACCACGTTGCGCCAAAGGCTTGATGAACTCTCGTCTTACCCGCCCCCCTGGCGTGGGTTACAAACCACACCCTGTGTAAACCACACCCTTCAGAGTCGCCGGTCAGAGGCGAAAGTCTGCGGCAACGGTAGAGGGGGCAGGCCCGGGGGGGCAACGTAAGGGGGGATAGGCTCGAGGCTCGAGTTTTTTTCGGGCGCTCTCCTCGGTTCTTGGCGGTTTTCTAGTCCCGGGGTGCCTTCAGCAGCTGCGCCTCGCCGAGGGCATTCCAGGTGTGCCTGGAGCGTTCCGAACGGCCGCCAGCGAGAACCCCAGGGGCAAGCTCAAGTCAGGAGGGAAAGAAACACACAGACACAATTAATCGGCGATTCCTAGAACACATGGGAAAATATGGGAAGTGGGGGGGAAGACAAAAGCTCAGAAAATATGGGGAAATATGGGGGATATTGTTATTTGTGTGTATTTATTTGTGTGTCCCAGTTCCCCTTCATCAAGGGGGGTTGCATAGACCCCCAACTGCTCATCCATTGCCAGTAGGAGCCAGATGGCCCACCCCCCCGGGGAGCGTGCGGATTTGCCATCGGGGGCCCAACGCCGATCTGTCGGCGATGTATCGCCGATTCAGGCTCGATGCTTCCCCCCTGAGCCCGTTCCCCCCTTCCGTTGCCCCTCACAAGGGTGCAGTCAGAAGGCACCCCGATGTCCGGGGAGCAGCGGTATCGGTGTCTTTGTCTCCCCCAGGGGCATGGTGGGCGGTGTTGCTGGTGCAGGTGAAGGGGTGTGGGAGGAGCGGAGGAGCACGGAGCACTGCTACATGCGTTCTCCCACGTCTGCGGTCTTGGAGTACGACACAACACACTGTGGCTCGTTACAGTCGACATCGATAGTAAGGATGGGCAACCTTCCCAAGGCTACCCTTGCATCCTTGCCTCCTCGGTCCATCCTCCACCACTCTCGATGTCCCGCCGCGCTCGAAACAGCTTCAACACAGGCGTCCAAAAGGCATGCATCCTTATCGCGCATCCTTGCTATCAGTTTTTACTATCGTCGCTGGCTGCCGCTTGGTTCTGGGTGCCCGTTTTGCTTCTTCGTGTGGATCTTCGGCCTCTTCCTGGAGCAGTAGACGTGAGGGTTTGGCCACCGGCCTGCCCTCCCGCAGTGCATCGAAGGCATCGAAAACACGGGGCACCCTCCTCTTGCTTTATCCCCTCGTGTGCGCTTCATTCATGTCAGCCAGAGCGAAGTTTGGTCACCATGAGCCTGGGAGGTACCAGCGAGCATCAGGAGGGCTACGGACGAGAAGGGGAGAAGCGTTCGAGAAGCCGCGCTACTCCGACGATTGCATCCTTCCCCGCCCTCCAGTTTTGCCCCAACCCTCACCGCAGTGGCCTCGGGCAGTACGCACAACCCTGCGACAGCCTCGGTCGATCAGCACATGCAGGATCCATCGGCTTGCGCGACCCTGGGTCCCTGACGACGGGGGTGACCGTCGGAGCCTGTTGCTACGGGCCGCATTTGCCTGGAGAGGTGTCGAGTTTCGACAAGGAAGTTTCCGTGAGGGTCGCTCGGGGTTTTGCGAGAGGCGCGGATCGTCGTTCTGTGAGCGTGAGAGCTCGGTTACTTATGGCCGGGCATGGTGGAGGACGAGTTCACTCTGCTTCACGGCGACTTGCTGCGCGCTCAGCGTCTGCCGACCCCCCCGGGGCCCCCCCCAGGGGCCGCCCCGCGCGCGCGAACAAGAACTATGTAGTTACCGGAGATCTTAGCACGCCTCTGGCCCGTTGGGCCGGCGACTTCATTGCCTCCCGCTGCCTCCCGTTGCCTCCCGTGGCTTCCCACTGCCGTCCCCGAGCCTACCCACTGTCACTTTCCCTTTTTATCCCTTCCCTTGTATCCATATCGAAGACGCCTACGGTGAATCACCGCCGCCCCCTGCCCCTTTGGAAGCGCCTGTGTGGCCGACAGCTGGGCTAGAGCTTGGCCAAGCTATCGGGCCAGTTGTTCCCCGAGTCGGTTTGGAAAGCCTTCGGGTAACGCGTGGGGGAGCAATACGAGGAGGATCAGGAGAGGGAGGAGGAGGAGGAGGATTAGGATGAGGATGAGGATGAGGATGATGGGGAAGGGCGAGGAGGAGTAGGAGGAGGAAATTTCTTGGACATCGTCTTGTTGGGAGGCCTCTGCGGAGCTTCCTGGGAGCCTTTTCGAGGCCTCTCGGGAGCCTCCCTGGGCCTCTTGGGGGCTTCTTGGGGGCCTTGGGGGGCTTCTTGGGGTCCTCTTTGGCCGTCTGAGGGCGTTCCCGACCCGTCTGACACCGTCGGAAGCCGTCTTGGGGGCCTTTCTGAACCGACTTGAGGCTCTCTTGGGGCGCTTCAGGGCCGTCTTGGAGAGTATTTTGGACGTCTTGGAGGTCGCCGTCTTGGGGGCCTCTTGGTCCGTCATGCGGCCATCTTGGAGGCCTCTTGGGCGATCTTGGAAGGCGCAAATGCCAAAATCTTTCGAACGCCTAAGGGACATGAATGATTTTGGCCGAGGCCATCTTGGCCGTCTTGGAGGCCTGTTGGGGCCCTCTGCGGGCCGTCTTGGGGGCCTCTTGGGCCGTCATGGGGCCATCTTGGAGGCCTCGTGGGCGATCTTGGGGCGATCTTTGGGGCCTCTTGGGCCGTCCTGATTCGTCGGAATGCAGAACAAAGATCAAAAACCAACATCCTTCAACAACCTAAGCAAAATCAATGATTTCGATCTCTTCGGGCCCTCCTGGAATGCCCAGAAAAAAAGCAAATGCCAAAATCTTTAATATCATCCAAGGAATCAATGATTTTGGTCTCTTTGGGTCCTCCTGGAGGACCTCTTGGAGGCCTCTTGGGCCGTCTGGGAGGCCTCTTGGGCCGTCTTGGGTCATCTTGAGGCCATCTTAGGTCGTTTTTGGTGCATCTTGGGCCGTCTTGGAGGCATCTTTGGGCCGTTTGAGACGTCTTGGAGGCCATCTTGGCCGTCTCGAGGGCCTTTTATGGCCCTCTGGGGGCCGTCTTGGGGGCCTCTTGGGCCGTCATGGGGCCATCTTGGAGGCCTCGTGGGCGATCTTTGGGGCCTCTTGGGCAGTCCTGATTCGTCGGAATGCAGAAAAAGATCAAACGCCAACATCCTTCAACAACCTAAGCAACATCAATGATTTCGATCTCTCTGGGCCCTTCTGGAATGCCGAAAAAGAGCAAATGCCAACATCTTTAATATCATCAAAGGAAATAATGATTTTGGTCTCTTCGGGTCCTCCTGGAGGACCTCATGGAGGCCTCTTGGGCCGTCTTGGAGGCCTCTTGGGAGCCCCTTGGGCCGTCTTGGGTCATCGTGAGGCCATCTTAGGTCGTTTTTGGTGCATTTTGGGCCGTCTTGGAGGCATCTTTGGGCCATCTGAGCCGTCTTGGAGGCCATCTTGGTCGCCTTGGAGGCCTCTTGGGGCCCTCTTGGGGGCCGGCTTGGGAGCCTCTTAGGCCATCCTGGGGCCATCTTGGAGGCCTCGTGGGTGATCTTGAAGCGGTCTTTGGGGGCTCTTGGGCTGTCTTGAGCCGTCGGAATGCCGAGAAGAAGCAAATGCCACAATTCTTCAAAAACCTCTTGGAGGCCTCTTGGGCCGTCTGGGAGGCCTCTTAGGGGCCTCTTGGGCCGTCTTGGGCCATCTTGAGACCATCTTAGGCCGTCTTGGGTGCATCTTGGGCCGTCTTGGAGGCATCTTGAACCTCTTGGGCCGCCTTAGGTGTTTCTTGTGGGAACTTGGAGGCATCTTTGGTTCTCTTGGGCAGTCTTCGAGGCCATCTTGGACCATCTTGGATGAACTCGGAGGCCATATTGGGCCATCTTGACCATCTTGAAGTCCATCTTGGAGCCGTCTGGAGCCGAAGAACCCTTTGCAACCACCTGTTACGCATCTCCGGCGGGACGGGCCGAAACCCCAGGGGGAGTTCTGTTGGACAATAACCAAAAGCAAAAGGGAAAGGGTCTAGCACGCCAGGCACCCCTGTGATGAATCAACAGTGGGCGGCGGATCGAAGACGCCTACAGTCGCCTGCCTTTTTGGAAGCGCCTGCGTGGCCGAAAGTTGGGTTCGAGCTTGGTCAAGCTATCGGGCCACGCGTTCCCCGAGTGGGTTTCGAAAGCTTTCGGGGAACACGGAGTCGGTCGAGCTATCGGACCAGGTGGTTTCCGAGCTTTCGGGTTTCCTGGAGGACGTCTTGGAGGGCTCTTCGGCCGTCTTGGATGCCTCTTGCGTGCCTTCGGGGCAGTCTAAGGCCATCTTGAGGCTATCGGGGGTCGTCTTGGGTGCATCTTGGGGCCATGTTCGCTGTCTTGGAGGCCTTAAAGGCCGTCTTGGAGGCATCTTGGAGGCCATCTTGGGCTCTTCTTGGGGCCCTCTTGGGGCCCTCTTGGGCGCCTCTTGGGCTGTCATGGGGCCATGTTGGAGGCCTCTTGGGCGACGATCTTGGGGCGATGTTGGGGGCCTGATAAGAAGAAAATGCCCAAATCCTTCAACAACTTGAGGCAAATCAAGGACTTTTGCCATTTCGCGATTTTTTGCCCGAAATTTCGGGCCTTCCTGGAGGACGTCTTGGAGGCCTCTTGGGGGCCTCTTGGCCAGTCTGAGGCCATCTTGGAGCCATCTTGGGCCGTCTTGGAGGCTTCTTGGACGAACTTGAAGGCATCTTGGACTCTCGGGCCGTCTTGGAAGCCATCTTGGACCATAGTTGCCGTCTGAGGCCATCTTGGAGGCCATTTTGGGTCAACGTGACCATCTTAGAGGCCATCTTGAGCCGTCTTGGAG